ACGGATCCCTTCGAAGAAAAAATCGTGCGTAAGACTCCGCAACTGTAATCCGTTTCCCCTTACGACAAACCGCAGACGACGCGACAGCCATCCCAACCAATCCAGCGCCGCGAAAGTATCCCGTGACGACGCGCCCCGCGCGTTGCGGTGCATCTCCCGCGGGTCTCATGACACTCAGAAGGCATTAGAATGGCTTCGACGGCTCGTAGAGCCCTCTGCGATCGACGCCGTCGTTCCTGTTCCAGCAGCCCTACACTCTAAAAAAAAAAAAAAGAAATAATCAGGTCGTAAAATGGGTACGGAAACGAAATGTTTGCACTTATTTCTTTGTTTAGTTGTGATCTATGTTTTGCTGGCAGCCCAGAAACACTAGTCTACACTATAGTATTTACGGGCTGCCGGCAGCAAAGTCAAGGCTACTAATTTTAAAACAAATAAACATATTTCCAAATTGCGTGTGGCGGCGGTCTGTCGAGCTCCGTTGGAATGCCTTCACGTCACGAGTTCCTAACAAGCAGCGGCAGTGCGCGGCAGTATGGCTCGCTCGTGGATTTACTCAGTTTAACAAAAAAGTAAAACAGCGCAAAAAAAAAAATGAAAAAAAGACGATTCTGTTTTCTTGTCCTCTGTTCTTTTTTGCGCTGTTTTACTTCTTCGTTAAACATGTATACCACCAACTCGCCCAACTCTACGCGTCCTGATTGTGACATGGCGGAGAATGCTAACGCGTTCACTACGTTGTACATGTTAAAGCTTCCACTTTCTTTGCAAAGGTTAGGTAGAGGCTCGATCTGAGGATGCGGGTACCTCTGCCAAGCCAATTCAGCGCTACTCTCTTTATTTACAGGACGCAGAACCCGCTATCAAGAACAAGGAAGCCGCAAAAAAATTCTCCACGGACTTCCGCGTGAGTTACTTTGGATCAACCGCTGCTCGGTTCTTTCATGCCCATAAAAGTATTTAGATTTGTATAAGTAATTCAAACCTCACAGTAATACGTCTTGACAAGTTCAACTTCGTTTGAATTTGGCGTTATAACCCGTTCATTGCTGCCGTGTACATCCGTCAAAAAAGATGGAACGTTAAACACACCACCCACACTAAAGTGGCTCCACAGAGTGCCCGAATCCACCAGCCATTACCCGCCTAACTCGCTAGTCACCGGCTACCGAAACGATAAGACCGCAGCATCCTCAAATTGCATGCCTACCCCATACCAGGTTTATCTGAGCAAGCAAGAGCAGGTCATTCTAATGCGATAGAATTCTTTGGCTACTTCACCCAGTTTTTTGCGATACGCTGTTTGGTCTCGAATGAGCCGCGCATACCTATCGCAGGCGCCGCGTGTATGCGGAGCGGCAGTACGCACTCCTTCACAATCACACCCTTCCCAAAGACGTAACGTCCTTGACGTCGTTCTAGAGGTCGTCCTTGAGGTCCTCCTAAAGGTCGCCCTACACGTCGTTTTTGACGTCGTCCTCTAGAGGCCTGTCCAAACAGGACACTTCAGAAATCGTGAGGCAACACAACTCCGACATACGTCATGCAGTGGTCCGCTTCCATTCGTTTTTGACGTAAAACTACGTCTTTCTCCGTGTTCGGAAGGGAGTGAAAATTTGGAAGGTCGATGTCCCGAAAACCTGGTCACGGAAGTGACGTAACAAAGACGCATCGCTTGCTGCCGAAAACCACGCGGTGCGCACGCGCGTCCTTTTTTGCTTGCTCGCTTGCTCGTTTCAACGCGGCGCGCTCCTGTCAGTTTGGAACGGCGATAGACGCTGATTCCAGAGCTTCGATTTCACGGTCTTGGCTCATCGCTCTGGACCACGGTGCTCTGGACAGCGGCAGAGCTCGCGTGCTCTGCGGCACGGGTAGTTCACGCGACTCTCTCGCGCGACTCGGCGAAGCGTTAAAAACAATGACACGCAATTCCGCATACGCGCAACATACTATATTACTTCACGTTTGCACCTGGGACATGGCGGCGCGGGGGTGGGACATTTGCCTCTACAGGACTCCGAACCACGGGCATTCGCTCCTTGCACACCCGACATCGTCATGCGGCAGGGGCCCGTGGTCGTTTTGTCAGCTGCGGCCGTAGTTGAACGGAAAATAATGCAGCATAGTAAACCTATGCAACGATCAATTTTTTGCCGGGGGGAAAGTTCCCTCCGTTAAAGTTCGCTCGCGTCCTTCATGGGGCGGGGGGGGGGGGGGGGGGGGGAGGGGGGGCCTTGAGCATGCTCATAACGTGGGTCCGGACAGCCACTCGCAGGCTCTGTGGGCTGTCGGTCAATCCCTCAAGGTCTCCGCTGCTCTTCAAGTCCCGAAAACGGGAAAGGGAAGGGATGTGTTCTAAATATTACTCGTATAGATCCAAGTTACTCCGGCGGGTCATGTCACGTGATCACACAGATAGAGCGACGTTAGCCTCGGGTAGGTCTTCGAAAGCAAAAGTAGATAACCCTTACCCTGGAGTAAGACAGAGTAAATGTTGGGACACGGCCAAGGATACGACGGCCCGGCAGAACAGATGGACAGCATTGGTAGAAGTCTAAGGAGCACCGAAGTCACCGAAAAGTGGAGGAGGCGATGAGAAAAGTCGTGATGTTTGCTTGGTGGTGTCCAGAGAGAAGTCGGACTGACGGACTTCAACCGCTTTAACTTTCACGACTTTTGATGGAGCTGTGTCGCCTCATGATTTCTGAAGTGTCCCGTTTGGACAGCCTGGAGGACCCCGTCCTAGACATCGTTCTTGAGGTCGCCCTAGAGGTCGACCTAGACGTCGTCTTTTATGTCGTCCTCTAGGACGTCGTCCTAGCAAGCAGATAAACCCGCGTCGCGCATACACGGAGCGGCAGTACGCACACATTCACATTTGCGCCCAAGGTACGCAGAAATTATCGGTTTAAGTTGAGTTTAAGTTAGTACATGGTCAATGATGGTGGTGAAACAACTTGAATATTAAACAATTACATTGAGAGAGCACAAGAGACACACACTAAGCAGCAATAATGGTCAGGAAACTGCTTCAACATTAAACGATTACACCGAGATAGAAGATTACACAGAGACGAAGCAATCACTCAATTTCGAAGTGGCGCACTGCAGACGCGCTGACATAAATGATTGCTTCGTAAGCCATTTATAAAATAAACTGTTTACTCAAAATTTACGTCGTCGTATTCACAGTGAGCTGCGTTGTGAGTCCCATGACGAATGCTATTGCAATTCATAGATAACCAACAATAGTGGCTTCTGCAGCCAATTTGTTTAACCGCAAGAATGTTTTTAAAACGTACTCATCTGAGGAGTTAAAAACCTAAGTGGTAAATTTGGGCAACCCTTAATACTCTCTGTAAATAAAATGGGAAAAAGCGCCAAGGTTGTGCTCGTCCTAGCAGTGTCACGCAGTGTGAGTGCATGTGGAAGAGGATATCGCAGACCGTCTTGAAACGTAGACATATTTTCTTCGGTGCTGTACGGCTCTTTGTTTTAGCGGCTCGACCGAATGCACATGCACGTATGCGTAGAGTGCTTGTTTCTATGCCCCATTAAAGCTCGCTGCGTACATGCGCTCGTGCCAGGTGCGGCGAACCTAATTCTGTCGTTTAATTTTTGTCCCTCAGAATTGCCTCATGAGCAAGGGAATGGAGAAAAAGTGTAAGTGTCCCCCAAGACCGTACACTCCTCATTAGAGACTTATAGGGAACGTTTTTTGTACATCCGATTTGCTACGATGAGCCGTCCGGTACGAACTGCGCGTACGCTATCACAGAAGACTCTTCCATATGCGCAGTGCGAACGGGAGAGCCCATCGCACCGTATCGATGTGTACAAAAACGGTTCCCTAAAACACTCCATCTATGCATGCCATTACTACGGTGGCTGAAGCGCGTCTTCGGGTGGTATGGTCGGGGTCCTATACCGGCCACGCATCGAGATCGGTCCCGAAGTGACAACGATGTATCGACGCTTTGAAGCAGCTGTGCACGTGCGCCGCTCTAACCGACCTTCAGTTTTTCTTTCCTCTTAATCCGTTTGCTTCACTTCATCATCACTTCATCAGGCCAGGTTAGTGCCATTTTAGATTCTACTGTGTCGTTCTCCCCTGCACCTTTGTGAAGGCTCGTCAACGCCCGTTTCAGTGGCTCGGTACCTCGGTAAGACAAGAAAACGCAGTGGCGGATGTAATCTAGCGTGTGGTGTGCAAAACGTGCATATACGCAACCGAAACTAGTGGATCGTTTAGTCGCTTGTCACCATCTTGGCGGTTTTTTCCAAAAGAGTGCTGTCGAAGAAGGGGAGGGGACGCCAGGGCCTCTGTGACGTCACAAGAAGCAAATCGATAGACCAATAACGAAGATGCGGCAAACACATTGGTTGGAAAAGCGTTCCGGACACCTGTGCTATTGGGAGCTTTCCCTCGGTCTCGTCGATAGTCTTTTATTCTTTTTTAAATATGACTAAATAAAAAAAGCGTAAATTACTCCACAATAATAAAATAAAACAGTACAGGTAAGCAGGCCTGCAGAACGTTTAGCTTCAATCTGGTAAAAATCTTAAACGTCAACGAAAAACCGAGAGTATAATATAAGCGCAAGATCAGCGTCACGTGAGGGTCAAATTGGCTTCGTGAAGATTTATTCGACCACTTTAAGTAACTATAGAGGACGCTGTCGTTCAGCCAAAACTAGCTGAAACGGCTCTTTCTTCTGCCTCTCTTTGAAACCGCAAGAGCGGTCGATGAATCGCAGCTGTTCTGATCGGTCTGGCAATTACAGCAAACTCGAGTTTTGACGCTTTGATTGGACACGAGGCCCACTCCAACGGTGACACAGCACTCGTGTTCAATCGGGTGTCTTCGCTCGATCTCAGTCCGAGGACGTGGAGGACGTTAAAATTCTGGTGCACAGGCTTTCATTAGTCAAGCTTGTGTTGGTTTAACGCACCGGTTCATATCGTATCTTATAGTGGCCATGTGTCCGGCCGCCAGTGAAGCCAAAGGCGATAAGCTCACCAACCAAGATCTGCGCAAGGTGAGGGCGCACACGACACCGCCACGGCGTCACAGTTCGAGTCTCCCAAACCTCGGCGGCATACGCGTTGCCATTACGAAATTCGTTCATTAAAATATTTCACTACTCCTTTTCAGATCATGGGAGTAACAATGAAGCTCTTCAGGGAAGTAAGTACCTTATCCGGCTAATAAAGAGGCTAAGGAAATCTCTCAAGGGGGAAAAAAAGTATCTGCGAAAGGTAGCATGGGAACACCGGAGGCGGATAAAACTGGCATCACAAATCGAGACGAATATAATAAAGACAAAAAAAAAAATGAGACGAAAAAAGATAAATGACGTCCAACCACACCCCCGTATACATTTTGTTGCTTTCTTTTATTACAATATTTGAAAAAGAAAAAAAAAAAAAAGAAAAAAAGAAAACGAAGACGGGATTTGCATGGGACCGAGCTCCTTCGTCGTTACTTTGAACAGGCGTGGGGTACTTAATAAACAACGTGCCCGAAACAACAACAACAAAAAAAATTATTTTCAGCGCAAAAATAAATTAAACCTCGCCGAATGCTAAGTCTTCGCCCGAATGTATACACTAGCGGTTCCGACCAGATGTCAAAGTTTCGGAGCTTGCCGTTGTCTAAGAAAAACGTTATAGGCGATATCTTTTTTTGCAACTTGAATTGGGACAATGGGGATACCGTTCCTCGCAACTGGCATCATTGTCCTTCATGCATTCGTGGGTTCCATCGACCGCCGTTTTCCCATTTAAAATTTCCAAAAACTGCTTCTAACTTTTGGATCAGACAACGCCAAGCTCTGAAACTTTGGCATTTGGTTTGAATTCATTTGGGCGGAGAATGAGCGTGCCGTGATGCGTAGTTTATTTTTTTTTTTTTTTTTTGCGGCAAAAGAAAAGGAACGTAAAACACTGTAATTTGTTTTAGGGGACATCCCGTAGGAACCCGCGGTACCCTGAGTTCGGGTTGATACGTGCGTGCATGAAAAATAAGAACGTTTCTTCCTCTAGAAAAAAGGAGACGTGACTGACGACGAAATGGAAAAAAAGATGGTAAGTCCTGCACACGTCCCCACACAACAGATATAAGGTACCATATGTTAAGATCTACGAAAAAAAAACTAACAAATGAAAGTTTTTTCTTCATCGACGAAATAAAAAAAAATATAGTTGGCTAGAAACGTGATCACAATTTATGAACATATGACAATCAGTCAGCGCAAACCACACAGCCAATAATTCTCTCCAATATCAGCTTACCAAACCTGTTTTTTTGTTGTTTTTTTTACGATTAAAAATGTCATTTATGAAAAAACAATTAAAGGGCATCGAAGTTTTCTTTCAAGATTTCAGCGTGCGCGAATTCAAGAACAAGCAGTCCCCATAAGAACTTCCCGTCTTCCATATTTATATATATATATATATATATATTGCGCGGAAAAAAAAGGGGGGGGGGGAGGTAGAGAAAGATCACTTGAGTATTTTCTTACGGCGATACTCCGAAGGTGGGGATGCAATTGCAATGGATGGTATAGGGTGTCCCAAGTCACCCGGCTCGATCTAAAATGGACCGTAAAAATCGACGCCTGCACGTAGCAATCCAAAATTTTCATCAGAGGTGTATTCATACGTCGTTTTTTTCTTTGAAAAACTTCAAAGTGTAGCTTCCTTTTTGTTAAAATATAGGGCCAAAAAATTTGCCAGGGTCAACGGCGGGCGGCGACGCAGACGACCAAGTCGAGCTGCGGGACGCGTTTGGCGTGCGTAATGATAGATGGCGTCGGGAGCAGCGTCCGAAGGTGTAGCCGACCAGTGAAAGGGAGCAGACGACACGCAGACGAAGTCCGTTGGCAGCAAAAGCGCCATCGTTATGCAAACGCTTTTTTTTCTTTTTTACTTTATGTTTTGCTTTTATTGTTAGCATTTATTTTTAACCAGAGGTACATTACAAAAATATTATGTTCATTTTAATAAACCACGGTGGTCGCGAGCAGTCTGGATAAGGACGTGCCGTTAACTGTCAATACGATTGTCAAACGCGCCCCGCTACACGACTTGGTTGTCTGCGTCGCCGCCCGCCGTTGAGCCTGGCACGTTTCTTGGCCTATCTTTTACTAAAAGGGAGCCACCCTTTGTAATTTTACAAGAAAAACCGACATGTGAAATACACCTCCGACGGAAAGTTTAGATTGCTATGTGCAGGCGTCGATTTTTACGGTTCATTTTAGATCGAGCTTGACGAGCTGGGACACCCTATATATACCGTTTTTTTTTTTTTTTTTTTTTTTTTTTTTATTCTTGCAGATTTGTTTTAAAAAATGCCCTGAAAGCAACACTTAAGCGGGTTGTGCGAGTGAGTTTTACGCCCAGCGGGACATTATGTGTTTGGCTAATGTTCGCGATAAGTCGGCTAATTAATTCAACTTGGAGAACATAATAGCGCTTCACGACAGGGACGAAGAGTAGGAACGAGACAACACAATGCGCTAACTTCAACTGGTTTAACCGTCAGAAGATCAAGGGTATAAATACTCTGCATCATTGCGCCATTCAACCAACCCCAAGCCACGCCACTGATTGCAAGAACTATGTCTCTTTGTCGGCCAAATCGATCGACGCCACGCTGACACATCGATCCCCGTAGTTTTTTATCAGGTCTGCCTCTGTAATTTCCCTTACCGTCTTATCTCTATGTTTTCTAATGACAGTCACAAATTAAATTCAGGTCTGCACCCACAGTCATGGCAGTGCATCGACAAATGACCGTCACGCTGTCCGCTCACTCAAATTCAAATTAATTCAAATTCACTAATTAAATTTTTAATTAGTTAAAATAGACATATGGTTCCAATTATAAACTTGCTGCGCGTTATCGAAAACCTCTTAATCAGTCATTTTCAGACAGACTTTCAGCGCGTGAGAAGCGCAGTAGTGCACTAAAGTTACCACTCGTGGAGCAGGTACAAGGCTAGCGGTTTCGATAAGGCGCCTGCGCAATTTTTCCGTCTCTTATCTGGCCCCAGCCTTGTACCTGCTCCACGGGTGGTAACTTCAGCGCACTAATGCGCTTCTCACGCGCTTAAAGTCTTTCTAAAAAAATGACCGCATCTCCACGTGGTGAATGATGTTGATTGGGGCGAAGCTCTGGTAGTGCTGATGATACTGATTTTATTGTTCATGGGTAGTGCTGATGGTGCTGATTTTTTTGTTTTTTTGTTTATAGGTAGTGCTGAGTTCCGGGTTGCGTTTCGACTTCATTATTACTGCTTTATGGTCGGTGAAATGCCGAGCCAGTAGTTCTTCTAGCGGATCAGCTTGGATCCGCTAGAAGCCGTGGGAACGCATCTCCACCGCTTAACGGTCCATGTCAGAAAGAGGATGTGTGGTATGGAACGTGGTTATATACGAATTTGAGCATTTGACCGCAGCGCCCTCTCGTCTATAAACGTTGAGCCAATGCATGCAAAGTTTAACGCGATTATATACGCATTTGACCGCAGCGCCCTCTCCTGTATAGACGGTGAGCGGCTACATGCAACGCTTCATCCATGACAGAAACCCCAGCTCTTGAGTTACTACCACATCTCAGAGCTCCCTACTCGTCCCGCACAGGTTCGAATCCTGTCGACTGCGCAAAATATTTTTCTTTTTGTGTGAGCACGGACGGGCGGACGGACGGACGGACAAGGCTAGACCCTAAGGAGCTTCGCCCCTAAAATTATTGATTTAGGGGGTTTTGGACGACACTCAGCTAATTTCTAATTGAAACCATGTCTATTTTCACTAATTAAAAAGTTAATTAGTGAATTTTAATTAATCAGCCGACTTATTGCAAAGATTAGCCACCCACATGATGTCCCCCTGTGCGTATAACTCACTCGCACAAAGCGCATAAGTGTAGCTTTCATGGCTTTCTTTAAAACAAATCTGTAAGAATAAAAAAAAAAAAAAAAACATTCGGTATATGTTGGCTTTTGGGATCCCATCGGAGAGGTCACGTGCCCGAGCAATGCAGTTTTCTTTAGAAACAAATCTCTAAGTGAACAAAAGCTAGTTCTTTGCTCTCTAAAGGCCCGTCCATACACTTGCAACCGAGTACAACCGAGGCAGACATGCAAGACCGGGTTTTAAGCCTCTGACGACGGCGGAGGACCGGATGCGCTGCTGCAAAGCTGGTTGTACGCAGGCGCAAGAGGCTTCAAAATCGGTCTTGTCTCTCTCGGTCGTACTCGGTTGCAAGCATGTGAACGGCGAACTCATAGTGTTGGCAGCTGCCCTTACTGCACGAGAGCTTGTGCCGACAAGATGTGCAGACCTGGGGTCTTCAACGCGCATCACGCAGTAGTCATACACCAACGCCCGCCGGCACGATGTTTATCGAGGTCAGAACGGGCAGAAGCGGTGAATGAGCTGAACAAAGCCGCTTAGTGTGCTAGGAAATTCTTAAACACCGGATGGCGTTTAGTTCGCTACCAGGGAACGTGCACGCTGCAGTTTTTTATCAAACATTTTTCGCCATTATGCAAAAAAAAACAAAAAAAACTGCTGTATACGGCCTATTCTATTGATAAGATATTTATATGACAAGTCGCGAAGATGCAAATTGACATCGATTACAGAATCGAGTTGCAAAACAAATTAATGGTTAGTTATTTATACAGCAGGAGTTTAGTCTGCCAGAACATGGCGACATTGTTACTGTAGATAAGCAATTTAGCCAGCGCAGTACGGCTGCTGGCCTGGGGTTTTTAACGTGGACCACGCAGTAGTCATACACGACCGCACGCCGGTACGATGCTCATCCAGATCGATACGGGCAGGGGTGAGGCTTAAACCCAGGATCCCTGGGTTATGTAGCGCGAGCTTTCACTCCATGTGCTCCGAGCTGTGTGCGCTAGCCCCCAATCGAGTTGCACCTTCCCTTGTTCTCCGTTTGCAGGCTGAGGTGGTCGATGAAGAGAAGGCCAAAGTTGGGGTGAAAGTCTTCAGGGCCATGGAGGTATGTGCCGTTCGAAGTCTCTGGGGAGTTCATGCACTTCCGCTTCGTCACTCCCATTTTTTTCTTCTATTTATGTTTTCCTTGTTTGCGGACTACATGTTTTCCTTTGTTTAGCCGACTGTTCGCCCAAATACAAACATACCTGGCCTAATGGTTGCTGTAAGCTTTTCTGTGGGAGAAAAAAAAAGGCATGGATTATAAAAAAAAAAAGGAAACAACCCGAGAAATATAAAAAAGTAGCCTGAAATATGCTGAAAACATGAGAAGATGTCGACTTATTTATTTATTCGCAATACTGCCAGCCCGGCAAGAACCAAATTAGGAGAGCTATCAGCAGGCATGTAGCCAGGGGGGGGGGGGGGGGGGGGGGCATCGGCCCCTTCCCTTAAAATCTTCTATTTTGCTGGGGCTTACTCTCCCTCCCTCCCCTCTCCCCCCCCCCCCCCCCCCCCCCCCCCCCCCCCCGCCCAACGAATCAAAATCCTGGCTACGTGCCTCGCTATCAGTATAACCGTTTTGCAATGCGTAGCTTATTTTCGGAGCAAAAAATGAAGAAAGAAAAAAGAATAAAGTTGTCTTGCTTTTACGCTTGACCGCCAAGGTCAGCTACCACATGGCGGTTCATGACTCGGAAAAAATAACATTTAATAAAATCTAAGTTATTCTAATTCATCCGTGCATTTCATTCCCACTGAAAGTTACTTACCGTTTTGTTATAGGATCGAATCAGTAGTTGTTGCCTTATTTTCAGCAATGCAGAAAGGAAAGAAAAGACAACAAGGCGGAATAGCCCACCGCAAGGGGAGGACACACGATGACGTAACACGACTGAAGGGCTGCGAGCGGAACAGGCTCTGTAACGAGTCGAGCGTTTGTTTTGGGACATGCTCCCTGCAACATGATATCATGATATACAATATACCCGGACGAGGTTTACCTTTATGAATAAAATAAGTTTGAAAGACACGGCATGACACTGGTTGTGTTCATAACTGTCAGCTTTTTTACATTGTTGCGCGCAGTATTTATTCGGTTTAGACTTTCTACGGTACGTCACTCGTACTCATGGAAACCAGAACTCCAAGGTGACACGCCTCACATCTAATGCACTACACAAATCAAACGCACGCGTCGGTTGGGCCACGTCCCGATGAAGGCAGTGCCACTGCCCAAGCGTCGACGAAAGCCCATCACCATATCCTTTGTAGCGTTCTTAAATTTATACTTATTTTTAATTGTCCAGTAATTGAGTGTTTAAACACGTTTCTTTTCTCATTCTACTAATTTAATTACGCTGAATAAGCTTCTTTTTTTTTTTTTTTGTCCTTTAGCTACTTTGTGCGCTCCCGTTTTTTCGCTAATTCATATACCTTATGTGGGGCGCTTGGAATAACCAGGATCGATCTAAAACGGACCGTAAAAATCGTCGCCTGAACGTAGCAATGTATATATTTCGCCGAAGGTGTATCACATTAAATTACAAACCGTAGTTCTCTTTCTGTAAAAAAATGGGGCCATAAACTTACCAGGGTTAACGGCAGGCGGCGACGCAGACGACCGAGGCCAGTGGCGGGGCGCGTTTGGCGCACGTATTGATAGATGGCGCTACCTCATTATCGCGACGGCTCGCGACCACCGTGGTTTATTCAAATGAACGTAATCTTTTTAAATGAAACTTTGGTTAAAAAATAAATTCGAAAAATAAAAGCAAAACTTAAAAAAAAAAAAAAACGCGTCTGCATAAAGAAAGCGCTTTTGCTGCCAACGGATTTCGTCCGCGTGGCGTCTGCTCTCTTTCGCTGGTCGGCTGCACCCAACGTTATTAAATTAGCTCAGTTACGGAACTGCTCATAGACGCCGCATGCACGAACAGTACCCCCCTAGAGCACTATATAGCTCCTACGGAGCAGAGTAACGCAATCCTTTGAACCCCGTGTTTTGCCGACAACATGGCCGACAGAGCGGCTCGGCCGAGTCACGTGGTACTCAGGGTTCCAGGAGGCGCCCCGCCCTACGGGAGAATACATGGAGATCGACACAACACGGCTGATTAAAAATGAACGGCGAGTTCACACTTTTCAAAACTAGTCTGTCGTGAAGTTAGTAAAGCAATAAACACTTTATCAAAGTTTTAATAATATCGGATGCGTGTGCAAATTTTGAGAATGCAATTTCCAAGGCAATGGCGTTTGAAGCAGACGATTTTTGCTCGCAGCGGAGATGGGCTTTTCGGGTTGGCCGGAGCGGGTCACGTGAATGGTGTGACGTCGCCGTGTCGTCTGCTGCATGATGCCGCTCAGGCAATTTTTAAAAAAAAGTCAGGTCCTTGCGGGGCACAAAACTTAGCGCGAATTATTCTAAAGTGTTTCATTATTATGTCAAAAACGATTGCGATTCCGTATATTCCCACAACACTGAAGAAACAACGATTTTCTCACGTTCTCCATGCATTTCTGACCGCAGTTGGAACCTCCGGGTGTTCGCCGCTAGTCGCCGAGAGGCGGCGTTCTAGATTGCGCTACACTGCTCCGAAGGAGCTATATAGTGCTCTATACCCCCCCTCACTCACCACGACTCGCCCAGCGTAAAGCCCCTCGATGTGTTTGCGCTTGTCTTGCAAGTAGCGTCAAATGCGCGAGTGCACGAGGCCCATGTCTCGAGCGGCCCTTGGAAGCAAATGGCGGCGCAGCACTGAAATGAGCGGGCCTTGGAAGCGAATGGCGGCGGAGCACCCGCTCATGGCACGTATCTCGCGCGCTTCCACAACAATGGTTGGCGGTACTTGTAAAAAACGCTTTTATCAAGGGGCTTTAGCCCAGCGTCGCTCGACGCGCCACCAGACGGCTGCTTTGGTAACTGAATCAGGATACGTACGTTTCAACGTTATTAGAAACGTAAAAACCAACGGAAAAAAACTCTTTTTGTAGTAACCTTTATTGGAGTTTAGTACAAAACGAGGGGCGCGTGATGTTTTCTAAAATCTTTAGTTTGCAAGGTTTTGCGGCACAATTAATATTGTTTTCATACAACCATGCCCCAGCGGTGATTTCAGGTAGCGCGTCCCGACCTGGCTCATTTTGACATCGGGGTAAATTCGCGGCGCATCCGCTGGGAAAACGGGGGTGGCATCCCTGTAACCCTTTCCACTGTTTTTGTTTCTTCTCTAAAATGGCCGATTGAAGCCAAAATAGATGTTACGTGCAGTTCCTCGAGTGACTGCTGCAGGATAAATGGCGGCGTTGTGATCGCCTTTTGGCGTTTCAGCTGGCCTCAACGTTACTAAAACACTCAGTTGGGAAACTCGCCGTTGAAACCTGGGCCGCTGGCGTTTACCGAGACCGAGCTAAATACGACAACAGCGCCACTCTTCATCATTTGTCTGTACTGTGGTCACCTTGAGCTTTTAGAAAGCATGTTTTTGCGTAAAAACAAACGGAAAAGACTCTTTTTGTATGAAATTTATTGGAGTTTAGTACAAAATGATGGGAGCGTGATGTTTATAAAATCTTTAGTTTGCAGGGTTTTGTGGCATAATTAATATTTTTTATACAACCATGCCTCAGCGGTGCTTTCAGGTAGCGCGTCCAGACCTATAGGTGCATTCTAACTTCGGTTGTAAGGCGCGGTGCGTCCGCCGGGGAGACGGGGGTGGCACCCCTGTAACCCCTTCCGCTGCATCTGTTTCGGCGCCAAAATGGCCGATTAAAGCCAAAATGGAAGTCACGTGCCGTTCCTCGAGTGGCCGCTGCGGGAGAAATGGCGGCTTTGTGTTCGCCATTAGCTCGGTTCTCGTAGACAGATCGGGGCCACTTTTTCAGAGCAGTCTCTATGGCAGTTTCCCAACTGAGTGTTTTAGTAACGTTGGCTGGGCTCTTTGGAACGCATAGTTATGAAACGAAAATATAGATAGCGCTTCGAACGACGCTTAGCAGATTGAAGTGAGTGAGGGAGGTACCCCCCTCCGCGGGAGTTCCACAATTGAGGTAACCTAATAACGTTGGCTGCACCCGACCTCGTTGGCTGCACCATAGAGTTATTATAATGTACGCTAGAGGTTCAAGTGGCGCTAGTGTGCTGACGCAAATTGAAGCAGACAGCAACAAATTGACTTCCGCTAATGCATTTCTATGGGAAAAAGTGAGTGCATTTTCACTTTGTGCTCGGTCATAAGAGCGAATATCTTGAATAAGTTGTACCTGCTAGGTAGCTTGGAACATTTCTCAGTCAGGCGGACGAAATAATTGGTCAGCTACGGAGTTTTTCTTTCAAATTCATCGCGTTAAAAACAGTGCTACAACGGCTTCGTACGTTTATTTATGTGCACTGTCGGACACTTTTAGCGCGAACACGACGTCGGCGCTTTTCAGCATGAGGTATATTCGTGCCAAACGAACGAAGGACATCTGGAAACCAAGCGAGACGGCAAGAACTACGCAGTAACACTGGATCAGTAACTACCCGTGCATGTACGATCAAAATAAATTGAAGGCCACGTAATATATTCTGATTTTAAATAAGTAAATAAACACAGCTTTAATCTTTCTGCTCTGTACGAAGGTGCTTGCTCTATGCTCATTGCTCAAAATATCACCCGCACGCTCGAAATCTTTGAGAACAAGTGCGCGATAAAAGCTGCCCGGCAGAGAAAACAATACGGAGAGAAACCTTTCATAGCCCACGTACTTTATTGTTTACGTTTTGAATGTTTTTATCCGCTTATGCACGACGGGGTCAATTCCATATAGTGACAGGACTGGCATATTAGCAGTGTAAAAGCGTCACCGGAATTCTGGCGAACCTTAACCACACTCTATATCCCTTACGATTGCAATTTTGCTTTGAATCGTCACTTGGTTTTAGACACGTGCTGCGGAACACATGTTTGAGACTGAAATGTAGCGAAGTTAAACATCGTTCACTGAGGAAGAAAAATGCGCTAACCAGAGCAATCACACTTTTACAATGTCATTCAAGGTGCATAGTGTTCGCTACGATCCAAATAACCTAAGTGTCGCGTGTTTTTTTCCGACGGAGAGACAAAATGCACGCGCGTTTTCCCATGAGAATGCACAGGAGCACCGCAAAAGTAGACTGGTTGCTGTCTGCTTCAATTTGCGTCACGGAAGTTGCATAGACACTAGCGACAGTTGAACCTCTAGCGTACATTATAATAACTCTATGGGCTGCACCTTCGAACGCTACTCCCGACGCCATCTATCAATACGAACGCCAAAGACACCCCACCACTGGACTTAGTCGTCTGCGTCGCCGCCCCCCGAATTGACACTGGCAAGTTTTTTCGCCTTTTCCTTTTTTGGCCTTTGTTTCTTTTCTAACGAGGTCCCCTTTCGTAGTCCCGCTTTGAGTTACTCGATTAATTTGTCGCAGGCCGAAGTGATGACTGAATCCGATATTCCGCATATCTGATCCTCTGAACCTGGAGCGAAAAGCTCGTGTTCATATTGTGGATGCAAGATTTTGGTAATGCAGTCCTCGTACAGGAAGATGCTATGCTTTTCTTTGAGTTTTGGGTGTGCTGACCGATAGTTTCGTAAACCATTTAAGGGTTTAGGATGTACACGACCAGCATATATAATTTCCTTTCAATTTCACAAGAGGATATAAAATCTTAATATGGTTCTCCTGGGGTCTCATAGAGGAACCGAAGGCCTAGACCTTGTTCGGTGAATACCTTACGTATTTCGTCGAGCGTTTTATGAAAATATTGCTGAGCACGGGTGCAACCCTAGATTCTAAGCATACTCCTGACCTCTTGTCCTGTGTATCTATCTCCCTTCCTTGTACTTGCTCCAGTCGCGCTGTTTTTCACTATAAACTTGCCCAAATGGCCATTTTAATATCTGAATGTATATTAGATTGAC